TTACGGTTAGGGTTAGTATTAAGTTTAGGGTTAAGGTTATGGCTATTGTTAAGGTTATGGTTAGTGTTAAGGTTAAAGTTATGGTTATGGTTAAGGTTATGGTTAGAGTTAAGTTTATGGTTAGTGTTAGTGTTAAGGTTACGTTTAAGGTTAGGGTTAGAGTTATGGTTAGGTTTAGGGTTAAGTTTAGGGTTAAGGTTAGGGTTAGAGTTAAGGTTAGGGTTAGGGTTAAGGTTAGGGTTACGTTTACGGTTAGGGTTAGAGTTAAAGTTAGGGTTAAGGTTATTCTTAGAGTTAAGGTTAGGGTTATTGTTAGGGTTAGGGTTAGACTTAAGGTTAGGGTTAATGTTAGGGTTAAGTTTATGGTTAGAGTTAAAGTTATGCTTAGAGTTAAGTTCAGGTTAGGGTTAAGGTTAGAGTTAGATTTAAGGTTAGGCTTAAGGTCATGGTTAGAGTTAAGCTCATTGTTAGAGTTATGGTTAGGGTAAGGGTTTGGGTTAGGGTTAGAGTTATGGTTAGGGTTATAGTTAAGGTTAGGGTTAAGTTTATGGTTAGAGTTAAGGTTCGTGTTAGGTTTAAGGTTAGGCTTAGATTTAAAGTTAGTGTTAGCATTAAGGATCTCATTATTTTAGAGTAGAAATGGTGAGATGTAACCATAAGCTCTAGGGTAACATTTGTTTCTCTCACTCTTCTCACTTGCGGAATTTTCTTCTGGGTTTTACTGTTCGATCATGTTCGACGTTTAAAAATTTAAATACAATGTCAATTATTATCTTCTGTCTTCTTAAATACAGTTTTTTTTTAATTCTTCTTGCTCTTTAATAATATTTTTTCTTATATTCTTTCACACTCACTAACCACCAGTGTGTTAGTGGATTTGTTGCCTTCCTTGGGTGAAATGATTACAAAAAAAAGAAAATTAGGTATACTATATATCCCAAACAAATATTTTCTTTCTTAAATTTTCAATGTTTGACATAAGACTTTTTCCACATTTTCACATTTTCATAAAGACCCATATATATATGCATGTAGCCGCCAACCAAGGGAGATAACACAGTTTCAGTTGCCGCCTAAGTCACCGAAACTGTGTTACCTCCCTTGGTTGGCAGCTAACAAGGGCATGTGATTTCACATCTTGTATGTAGAAAAGTATACATATGTATATACATGTGTATGCTTGCACCTGTTCACACACAATATGATAATGGTGGCAGACCACTCGATTGCAAACAGGACATTTTCTTAAAGTAACTGGAACTAACAGAGATTCTAGCGATCGACACTTGTGCAAGGTTCTTTGCACTTCAATTACCCCAATTCAGTCGCAAGATTACTCAAGCGGCAGATGTTTAACTCAAAGTTGCCCTTCTCATAGACAGATTGCCACCCAAGGTTGAACTGCTCAGTCTGCCCTACTATTTAACCCATAGCTCGGGAGGAGATGAGATGGAGTTACATCCGTCTCAAGAGTATTTACATGAAAGTAAATGTAAATCTAATGAACTTGACAGGAACTCGAACTAAGGTCTTCAATTTTTACTCCGGTCCATTATTCATTGCACCCTCCACCCCCCCACACACACACTATATATATATATATATATATATATATATATATATATATATAAAAGAAATATAATCTTAAGGTGTACTATATTTATGGGATAAAGTGTTCAATATCAGATATCGATCGTGTGTAAATATAAAAGTGAACATTGAAGTCAACACTTAGAGTTGTCAGGCTGTTTCAGGCGAGACACCTCTTCACTTTTGTAAATAAAATGCATTACCTCTTACATGGAATTCCTGACAAATCTTTGAACACCTAAATAGACCACAAGGAAGAAAAGTTTGAGAAACAGTGGAATAAATCACAGATGGGTGTCACAGAAAGACAAATATGCATGAGTAGATGTGAATGCCCAGATCAAGCAGGCATGCTGAAGATGAGAAGTCATATTGATTTGCCATATACCCCCAAGTCGAAACATCTCTGATGAGCATTATTAATTAATATTTCATTTCATCCCAACTATTATCACTGCTTTTTATCAAATTTGATACATCTATTATGAGAACATCATATAGAAATCAAATCTAACTTATTAAACACCTCCCTCATTCCATAAACTCTCTCAGAATCATATTTGAATTTGTTTTACACACATTGTATTGAATGGAGGTGTATTATATTTATTGTATCTTTATTAATAATGCTTCACATGATCAACCATTATTATCTGTGAATAAAGAATGAAGATGAAAGTAAATACTAATCAAAATAAATGATAATATTGGAGAATGCTTCATCTAATAAAAAAATGAAATGAAAAAAATGGTAAGTACAAATTAAAAATAATAATTAATAATGTTACTGTCTATATATCTGAGATGAGGTATTATGTACATTATTTACATTATTCGGACTATTGTCCTCATCTTTGTCGCCATATTTACTGCAGCGTTTCCACCATTCAGTATCTGGCTATATTTCTGAGATGAGGTATTATGTACACTATTTACATGATTCGGACTATTGTCCTCATCTTTGTCGCCATATCTATTACAACGTTTTGGCCTTTCAGTATCTGTCTATATTTCTGAGATGAGGTATTATGTACATTATTTACATTATTTGGACTATTGTCCTCATCTTTGTCGCCATATTTATTACAACGTTTCGGCCATTCAGTATCTGTCTATATTTCTGAGATGAGGTATTATGTACATTATTTACATTATTTGGACTATTGTCCCTCATCTTTGTCGCCATATTTATTACAAACGTTTTGGCCATTCAGTATCTGTCTATATTTCTGAGATGAGGTATTATGTACATTATTTACATTATTTGACTATTGTCCTCATCTTTGTCGCCATATTTATTACAACGTTTCGGCCATTCAGTATCTGTCTATATTTGAGATGAGGTATTATGTTTTTACATTATTCGGACTATTGTCCTCATCTTTGTCGCCATATTTACTTTTCCAATATTTCGAGATGAGGTATTATGTACCATTTACATGATTCGACTGTCCTCATCTTTGTCGCTATATCTATTACAACGTTTTGGCCTTTCAGTATCTGTCTATATTTCTGAGATGAGGTATTATGTACATTATTTACATTATTTGGACTTATTGTCCTCATCTTTGTCGCCATATTTATTACAACGTTTCGGCCATTCAGTATCTGTTATTTTCTGAGATGAGGTATTATGTACATTATTTACATTATTTGGACTATTGTCCTCATCTTTGTCGCCATATTTATTACAACGTTTCGGCCATTCAGTATCTGTCTATATTTCTGAGATGAGGTATTATGTACATTATTTACATTATTCGTCGCCATATTTATTACAAACGTTTCGGCCTTTCATTGAGGTATTATGTACATTATTTACTTATTTGACTATTGTCCCTCATCTTTGTCGCCATTTTTATCGCCACGTTTCGGCCATTCAGTATTTTTCTGAGATGAGGTATTACAACGTTTCTTTGTCGCCATTTCAACGTTTCTGTATCTGTCTATATTTCGGAGATGAGGTATTATGTACACTATTCAAATTATTCGGACTATTGTCCTAAACTTTATCGACTACAAAAAAAAATAGTTCAAACAAATGTTTGAGGTAACATTTAATTTATATCTATATGAGCACACAACAAAGACAAATGACAGAAGCCGAATTTAAGAACAAATGATAAATTATTGTTAACACATATAATAATGAATGAATAACATAAATTAAGCATTGTTTGCCAAATGATGGTCAATAACATATATGTAAAAATAATCAATGCAAATGAAATATTCCCTCTGTCAATAAAAACTATAATACTGCATAAGGACTTAAAAAAAAACTACATATAAAATGTAAAAAAAGGGGAAAGTACTTCACTGAATAGTTTTCAAAGAATTGGTACAATTTTCAAAGCAAAGTTTTTGGTAACAGTGAAGAATAGAACAATGACACCAGCCGTAGACTTTTTCTTTAATGTGGGAGGGACATTGATGTTCCAGTCAATTCTCTTCTGTTAATTATCAAATTGCTTCTGTATTTCTTTCTGAACCTGGTTTCCAGCAGCAGAAGATCATCGACTCCTTCAATTAAACCAAAGCCCTTCTTTTATGACCTACAGGTACACTATGAATTGACTTCTCAAAATTTGGAGGGAAACCATTTTTGATTTGTTCTGGATGAAAAACAAATGCAGCTGATTTGTCACATTTCAAAACATACAAAAAATACTTTTGGAATTCATAAATTAAGCAACAGCCCAACACAACGTCTGCTTTCTCTTGGAAAAGCAGACGATACACACTGAAGCAGCTTAAAAAAAAGCAGAGATGAGAATTTTTGTTGAATAATAATGGATACGACATTTCATCATATTATATAGAGTGTAATGAGAACAATATCCCCACATTGATTGAATAAAGTGTTCAATTCAAAATTTAGAGAAGATTACTTAGAATGACAATAGACATCTGAAGAAGGCCACCGTGTATACGCAGGCTGAGTCGTGTTTATAACAAACAAGATTAGCATGCTGAGCTGAATAGCAAGTCATATGAGAAATAATAATTCCTCATTTCAAATGTTCCAATATAATTTATGCACACACACGCACACACATACACACACACAAACATTTATATATACATATATATATATATATGAATATGTTCACACACACACACACACACACATATATATATATATATATATATATATATATATATATATATATATATATATATATATACATGAATATGTTCATGTTTCTGAGTGGTGGAACTTTATAACAGCCAAATTGAAGAATTCATTTGTATGACTGCAATCGGCAGGTGCATGCTTGGGAATCCATTTTCTGTCAATGACAGGAGCCTTAGCACCAGCCTACAGCTAACACCCTTCTCCTCAATTTCCTTTGCTGACAAGAAAACCGGATTTCATTTTTTATTCTCATTTTTTCTTCTTTTATAAGCCTTCTTTCTTTCCTCTTCTTTTTTCCCTTTTCTTTTATTTTCCTTGACTTTTCTTTTTCTTTCATTTCCAGTCTTTCATTTTATTAATGATTTTTCTTTACTTTTTTTTCATTTCCTAAACTTTTTCTCTTCTCAACATTTGTTTTTTTTCTGCTTCATGCCTTTTCTTCTTTTTTTAATTATAATTTCTTCTTTTTTAGTCGTTCTTTCACCAATATTTTTCATTCTTTTCTTTCGTTCTTTTCCGTTGATTTTTTTCTTTTTCTTTTCATTCTTTTTCTTTCCGGCCTTTTTATTCATTTTTTTTCTTTTTATTCTTCTTTTTTCTTCTTCTTTCCTTTACATCTCTCTTTTCTATTCTCTTCCTTCAATTCTTTTTCTTTTCTTTTTTTATTCATCAAGTTTTTTCTTTGTCTTTACCTTCTTTTTTATTTTTTACATTTTTTCTTTTCTTGTTTTTTTTTTACATTCATTTTCTTTCCTTCGTTTTTAACCATCTTTCTCTTTTTTACCCATTTTTTTTTCTTGTTTTTTACTCTTTTTCTTGTTGACTTTTTATCTTTTATCTTTTTCTGAATTTTTTCTTCTTTTCTTTTTCTATCTTCTTTTGCATTATTACGTTTCATTACATTTTTTATTGTGTTTTTCTTCTGTTTCCTTCTTTCATTTTTACTAGTTTTCTTTCTTTTTCTTTGATTTTTGTAACTTATTTTTATATAAATTTTTCATTTCACTCTCTTTTTTTCCATTTTTTTTTATCATTTTCTTCTTCTTACTCTTTTTCTTCTTTTTTTCCTTGATTTTTCACTTTCTTTCTGTATTTTTTTCCTTTCCATTTTCTTATTAATCTTTTTGGACCTCACTTCATTCGTTTAATTATTTTTCTTCTTTCTTCTACCTTTTTCACATTTCTTCTCTTTTTCATTATTATTTGTACCCATTTCTTTTCTCTTTTCTCTGCTTGTCCTCATTCATGTTCTCTTCTTCTTTTTTTTTCATTCATTTTTATAAACTGAGCTTTCTTCTGCTTAAATATCCGTGATGATTCATTTGAATGAGTTTACTCGTCTTTGTGTTCTTTTATCTGTTTGCCTGTATTTTCTTTCGTCGCAGCATTTCTGACATCCCATCCCCTGGACTCTTAGACATCTGAATTTTTTTAGATATATGCATTACTAGGACCTGTTTCTTTGTTTTCGCATTGCTTAATCACAACGTTTCAACTGCTGTGTCATCCAGAATTCTATAGGTTCTAAGCAAGAGAAAAAGCCTAATGTACAAACTGTTTGGTAAACCCTCCTACAGTAGAATAAACTCTTTCTCCTCTCATAAATACTAACTGCGAGACATCCTAACAAGACTCGTAGGGCAGTCGCTGACTGTGTCCGACTTCTGTCAAACTCTCTGCTTTGGCAAAGAGGGACCCTGACGAGGTGTTGCCGAAGGGTAAAATTTTGTCTGGGGTGGTAAACAGATCCCGAACCCACTTATGCGAGTTCAAAGGGGATATTTTTGGCCGAGCCTATGCGCTCGGTGAAACCCACGTTAAACTCAGCCTTGTGCCACATACATTCCTTGACGGGGGACTGTTAAATATAGAGTCGTTGAGCAGTCTCTGACTGTGAGCGACGTCTGTGGAACTCTATTCTTTGGCAGAGAGGAACCCGGACGAAGCTTTACCCAGGGGCAAAGTTTTGTCCAAGTAGGTAGACTGATCCCGAACCCGCTTATGCGGATTCTAAGGGAATATTTTTGGCTGAACCTACAGGCTCGGAGAAACCCACATTAAACTCGGCCTTGTGCCACATACATTCCTCATGGGAGGACTGTTAAATATAGAGTCGTAGGGTAGTCGGTTGGGGAACGAAGACGCAGTGTTAACCCACCGTTCGGACGTACACCTTTATCTGCTTATTACTAACACTCTTGCTTTGTATATATCTGTTATTTCAATACACTTGTTCTACCTATCTTCGTCTCCTGTGGCTTTCTTTCTGGCTCCTAAACAGGACACAACAAAACTATGAATTCTTCTTCTATACTCCTTCAAGATGTGGGCAATTATGGCTCTTCCCAACGTCCTATCTTTTGTTGCTCTCAGAAATACTTCTCCCTTTGCTATCATTCCCACACCTTATTCTAACATCATTTCATATGAGTTCGTCAGGTCGGTGGACAGTTGCTTGCACTTGTCTATTTTTCTTTCACTCTGTTTTGAGAGTGTCAAATTCTCCAAGCACTCCTTCCTTATGTGTAAAAAAGAAAATCAGTAGTGTTTGTCTGATTCTAAGTGTCCTTTTTGTTCAAATTTTCCTTAAGACTTCTTTGTTGCCTATGCACTTTATCCATGTTATTCTCAGCAGCCTTCTGTAGAACCCTATATCTGCTACCTCCAGTTCTTTTTTCATCTGTCCAGTGTTAACTGTTATATAGGCAGTTATAATTACATAACAGTTCAGAAATCTTCTTTTTTTTTTCTAACAAAATTTTCCTGTTTCTTAGTCCTTTGCTTAGCTTTTAGAAGTCATCTACTACTATTCCAATTCATGGTCAGATTTCACTGTCGAAAGTTTAACTATGTGGTAAGTGTTTCAACAGATGAAACTGTCTAGCATTCACTGCTATGTGGGTAGTTTTAATTACATAAGAGTTTAGCTCTCATTTTTTTGTTGTTTCTAACAAGATTTTTGTGTTTCTTAGTCCTTTGCTTAGCTTTTAGAAGTCATCTTCTGCTATTCCAATTCATAGTCAGAATTTGGTGTCAGAAGTTTAACTATCTAGTAAGTGTTTCACCAGAGGATGGAAATTGGGACAACGAAATCCAAAAGTAGATTCGAATAGCAAAAGATGCTTTCCAGAAACTAAGAAAAGAATTAAGAAACTTGAAAATTCATTGGAAACAAAGAAATCTTTTTCAAATGTTAGTATCAATTCTGTTATGTGGCAGTGATTGATTGACAATTTTTTCACAAATGAATAGGAGACATGAGGCAACAGGGATGTGATCCTATAGAGGGATACTGAGAATGCCATGGATGGAACATTTAAGTAGCAAGGAAGTTTTACAGGAAATAGAAAAAATAGGTCGCTAATACTTAGAATCAGAAAGAAAGGGTTAAATTTCTGAGATACATAATGAAAAAAGAAGACTTAAAAATTTTTTTACTAACAGGACATACAGAAGGTAAAAATGGCTGAAGAAAAAGTGGAGTAACCTAATGAACAAGGTTATAGCAAGAATAAAATTTAGAAAGAAAGAAGAAAAGACTGTTAAAGAAAGAAAGAGAGGAAAGAGAGAAAAAAGTAATAAAGAAAGAAGATAAGATTTCAAAAAACATTAAAGAGAGAAAGAAAAAAATAAAGAAGAAAAGACTTTGAGAATGTTAAAGTAAGAAAGAAAAAAAGACTAAAAAACGAAAAAATAAAAGATTTAAAAAATGTTAAAGAATGAAAGAAAAAAAGAAAAGATTTCAAAAGAAGAAAGACTCCAAGAATGCAAAAGAAAGTAAGAAAGAAAAAATAAAAGATTTTTAAAAATTTTAAAAAAAGAAAATAAATCTTTAAAAATTCAAAAGAACAAGAAAGAAAGATTACAAAAATGCAAAAGAGAAAAGAAAAAAACTCCAGAAATGTGAAAGAAAAAAGAAGGAAATGATTTCAATAAATGTTAAAGAAAGAAACAAAAATAGAAAGAACAGACTTCGAAAATGCCAAAGAATGAAAAAGGAAAATACTTAAAAGTACGAAAGAAAGAAAGAAAGAACGAAAGAAAGAATGAAAGAAAGAACGAAAGAAAGAAAGAAAGAAAGAAAGAGGAAAAGCCTTAAAAACTACTAAAGAAATAAATAAATAAAGAAGACTCCAAGAATGCCAAAGAAAGTAAGAAATGAGAAAAGATTTTTTAAATTTTAAAGAAAGAAAAATCTTTAAAAAATTCAAAAGAAAAAAGAAAGAAATAAGAAAAGATTACGAAAATGCTAAAGAAAGAATGATAAAAAAGACTCCAAAGATGTAAAAGAAAGAACGAAAGAAAAGATTTCAATAAATGTTAAAGAAAGAAACAAAAATAAAAGGAAGAAAAGACTTCAAAAATGCTAAAGAAAGAAAAATGAAAAGACTTAAAAAAAAAAAAATTCTAAAGAAAGAAATAAAGAAGGAAGACTCCAAGAATGCCAAAGAAAGGAAGAAAGAAAGAAGAAAAGATTTCACATAGTGGTAAAGAAAGAAAGAAAAAAAGAAAAAAAACAAAGAAAGAAAAAAATATTTTTAATAATGTTAAAGAAGGTAAGAAAGAAGAAAAATATTCAAAAATACTAAAGGAAGAAAAAAGAAATGACTTCAGAATATGCTAGAGAAAGAAAGAAAGAAAAAAAAAAGGAAAAAATCAAAGAAAGAAAGAAATAACAGCAAAAATATTAAAGAAACAAAAAAGACTGAAAGAAGAAAAAGGAGCAAAAATGATTAATTAACGAAGAAAAGGAAATAAGAAGAAAAATAAGAACAGAAAGAATAAAGGTGAAAAACAAGAAGAATAAATAAAAGGAACGTAAAAATAAAAAAAGAATATGGAAGAAAGGAAAGAGAATAAAAGTAAGAATAGAAATAAAAAGGAAAAATGAAACAAAGTAGGAAAACAAATAAAAATAATTTGTTCAATCTTTTGTTTGAAAAATTATTTTTATTTCTTTTTCTGAGAATGGAGTACTGCGGCCATATTTGGGCAGGAGCAGCCCAGTCCTCACTCTCCAGTCTTGATAGAGTTCAAAAGCATTTCCAAGTCCTTGTGGATGACAAATTATTTTCCACTCTCCAAACTCTCTCTCCCACAGGCAGGGTGAGGCATACTTATCACAGCTCTATTCCTATGTACATGGGATGTGCTCGGACGAACTATATTCCATGGTTGCACCATTTCTAACCTTTACGGCTAGTACCTGCCATATCACTTACATTGTAGCAAAACATGAAATTTCTTTCATATCCCACTGGCGAGAAGTAAGTTCCACTCGAACAGCTTTTTCCCATGAACCACTGCTCTGTGAAACCGACTCTCAAGAACATGTTTTGCTGATCACTACAATCTTAACCTATTTAGCATTAACCGTTTTCTTCCACTACTATCCTATAAATTGCCTCTTAATGTAACCCTCTACAGGGGGAACAGCGTTGTAATAATAAAAAAATATGGACAAAAGACAAAAAGAAGAACGAAATAATAGTAGGCAGAAAATTATGTACAAGAATGAAAGAATTGGTAAATGGAAAATAAGAACGAAAGAAACCTGTAATCCAGAAAGAAAAAGTGTGGCATAGTAAAAGAAAAGAAGAAGAATTAAAGACGAAAGCAGAAACAAAAATATCAGCAGGAAAAATATAAGGAAAAAATCTACATTTAAAAGAATAAATGGAAACACTATGAACAAATGTAACTGCAGAAAATGGATAAATAAATAAAAAAAAATGGTAAGCTGTTAAGGAATGTCTATTGCAGGAATTATGCTATAACCATATATCACCATCTTTGCATTTCTTCACATTCTCCTGCCAAATTTTCCTGACCAAAATTCTTCAAACATTGCTTGCCCCTAACAAAACCTTCATTTTTTTCGTTTCTTCTCACCTAATGTTTTTCTCAGTGAAGTAGGAAAGAATTTTTCTCCATTTTTTTGCCTTTTTTTTCAAGAAATAGATTCTACCAACAACTACCCATTTCAATGTAGGTTCTCAAAAACCAAAATTTCTTGCATTAGCATATAGATTTGAAGTTATACATTTGCAAGAAACCTTTTGGAACAGACACACGCATAAAGAGAGAGATGCAAAAAAAAAAGAATATCTGTAGTGAAT